TGAGGAGGAAGCCCAGCAGTTGGGTTATGCGACCGCATTCCGTCCGGTGCGGGCGGACTGCCCCGTTGGCAGGGGCCATCAGGACGATGCCGAAATTGACGACGACCTTGACCCAGACACCTTGAGTGCCCTCGACGAGTTCGCCACCCGCCTGTCAGCCATCCCTGACATGAGCCAGGCCAAGGATGTGCTCACGTTGCATCAGCTGGGTCTTTTCGCCCAGCTACCCACTAGCTACCCGTGGGGCGATATCATGTTTAGCACACTGCACGTTACCGAAGCTGGCCTGCACACTGTTAGGAATACCCTGGCCCTTCGGCGCATGATATCGGATGCTCCGGCACTCAGTGCGGACGAGAAACTCCGGTTCCTCCGCTCTTGGCTTACGTGTCTGGCCACTTCCCTTGCCAAGGTCTTCGCGCCCCTGGCCGGCGGTGATGCCCCGCTCAGGTTGCAGCAGTTGATGCTTGACCGGTTGGCGCAACCGCAATTTTGGGTGGCAGCTCTCACCATTGCCACCCGCCAGCATGCTCAATTGCTGCTGGCCGGTGACGCACTCAAGGAGGTTGAGGCGGGTGATGACTCTCTGGCTACTGGTGAGCAAGTCGTCCAATGGTATGGCCGTGCTGGCCCAGGCGATTGGCCGCTCCATCGGATGAAGGTGCATATCCCTACCGCAGCCATGGCCCACCTTTGCGCACACTCCCCCCAACCCGAGGAAGGTGGGCAAGGTGCAAACTGTGCGTGGTGTTCGCTTTAAGTCCTCATACACACCGCCTTACTTTTCTGACGTTGAGCACCACCGGCTCCACCTGCTGCAACAATTGCAGAATGAATGGGAGGGGCTTGGACTTTGACGTTCAAGATTACTGTGGCAGCTCGGCCCTTGCAGCATTCGGACCGACCTGTGGCTCCCCCTTCCCGCTGAAGGGCAGACTTTTGCTGACTTTGCTCGTCGCTTGGGAGCCACTTCTCAGCGCTGGATGTCTGCCGTGTTAGCCGCGCCCCCTGTCCTTGACAGTGCTGCGGCCGAGGTCATTCTCAAGAGTGTGGACAGTTTCCATGTGGAGCCATCCGGTCTCACTCTGCAAGCATTCATGAATCAAGGTCCCAAGAACACACAGGCTGCCAATGCCTTCCTCCGGGAGCCCTCGCTTAGCGGTTTCAACACGGTCACCAACATTGTGCGGGTTCAGGCGCGGGCTGCTGAGCAGGGCAGCTCAGGCAGTCGCCCGCGAAGGCGCTGAAAGGACTCTGGTCCGTAGGCCGTATGGAGCAACCCATGGTCCGCAGCTTTAAGTGCACTTCTGCTCAGAGTTCCGTGCAGTATCGGCCCCGCCGGTCTCACGGTACTCTGCTGCATAATTTCTCTAATTGATTGTGGAACTGATTTGCTCTTTAGGCTAGGAGCCCCCTCTTGTAGCCGTGTCGCTCTGTGATTGCCTGGGGAAGGGCCGTATAGTACCGTGCCCCGCTCGGTCTCGCGGCCCCTACCTGCCATTCTGCCCATCCCAAACCCTAACCGTAATGCCCCTTGCCTTAGCGGATGTGTGAACCTAGGCGGCCCATGAAATGGCCTACCTTACCCCCAAAATTAAATTCTCTTGCAATGCACCCGTGCTGGGAATTTGATGCTGGGGTGGAAGTGCCGTCTAGTACCGTGCGCCGCTCGGTCTTGCGGCTCCTCTCCTGCCCATTGCCTTGCATCCCAAACCCTAACCATTAGGCAGCCCGCCACGGCCTTTGCAATTGGACCTGCACCGCGCCAGGCCCCCGCAAGGTCTGGGCTCGTGGAACCACTTGCTTGGCGACACAGCCAGATGGCCAAGCTGTAGCAGGACTACAGCCTACTATTACCCCCAAAACAGCAACTCCCCGATGGGCATTCGTGCCGGAAAACTCGAGTGCTGGGGCGGATGAGCCGTGTAGTTCCGGGCCCTGCCCGGTCTCGCAGCTCCTCTACTGCCAACTGCCTTGCGCCCCAAACCCTAACCATTTGGTCGCTTGCCAATTGCTGTGCTATGGAAACTTGGAAAATGTGCCTGGCAGGCCGGCCATGTTGCCATCATGGGCTCATCGTCCAGCTGCTGCTGCCCTGCTTGCCATGCGTCATGCCTTATCTGGGCATCGGTCTCTTTCACACTGAGGCGCCCTTTGGCAGTTGGGCACATCTTCAGGGAAGGGCCACCGCTCTTCCCTTGCTGATGCCCCAGCACTCAGGCGCCCTATCGACCGGCTGCACTGCTCCCTGCAGTGTAGCACCTGGACCATGTGGTCTTGAGCCCCCCCTCCTTTTTTGCCTTGCGGCCCTCGCAGTTGGCCCTCGTGTGTGTTGACCAATGTGTGCGCACTCCTGTGTCGCTGCTGGGCTGCCTCGCTGGCTCGCAATGCCGCGAAATTGTCCCAGCGGCTACAGGTGATGCCTGTGAGCCGGCTAATTCATGCATGCTTTTTGCTTGTCGCCTCGGTGGCATCTTTTGCCCTAATTCATGCACGGTCCTTGGCTAGTGTGTGTGGCCTCCAATGTTGCTCCATTGCATATGCTCCTCTGCATGGCCATGTACGGGGGTTAACGATGCGCAAATGTGCCCCCGGCAGAGTGTAGTGCGCTCCGCGAGTGGATCATGTGGTCTGTGCCCCGCTCAGCCACATGGTTTTCTTCGCGCGTTGCCAATGCATTTGGTGTCTTCCTTTTTGCTCGTAATTTATTTCAACATGCACTCCCGCGTGCTGGCGAACTCACTTTTCTGTTCTCGGTTTGCTTGTTTGCTGTGGGTCTTGTTTGGCTGTGTTTGTTTGTTGTTGGGCTCCTCTGGCCTATTGTGTATTCGCCGGCTTTTTCATGTGACGTTTCACCATTTGTTTCACCCGCGACCGATGGCAATTGCCTCAAGGCGTGCTGGTGACAAAAAAAGCAAAACCGCATTAGGGCGGGAGTTAAACACAAATCTTCCGCAAGTTCTGATCTGAAAAAATCCAAGCAAAGTAGCTGAAGCCCACCAGCCCACCAGGACGGTGCACACACTTGATGCATGAAATTCCCAATCAAAACGTCGAAGTCCCATGGAGCAGAACGCACCAGGAGTACTTGGCCCTGAAACCCTGAAATCTCTACAAAAGTCACCGGAACCCACTTTCCCACCTAGTAGACGGAACACTTTGCAAGGAGCCAGAGTGGTCCGCGCCAGCGCGGAAAGGGTTCTTGTTAGCGCTGTAAATGCAGAACAATCAGTTTCAATGGCAGGCGATGTAAGACTCGCGTTTTTGCCCGAAGACACGCGTACGAGCCAGCTTAAGGCAGCGAGGGCATAAACAGTCCAGGTGCATTCCAACAAGTACGGCCTGTTGTGTTCCACTTTTAAGAAGTTTTCGCTACAGAGTGTGCCATTTCAACCTCCTTGCGCCCCTGAGCCTGCACCTCTGAGCAACACCAGACAAAAAATGGTTACATGTTCTTCCTTTGACCTGAAGCAGTAAGCAGGATTCCAACTCCGTTGTAGTTTGTGCCTATTGCTAAAGTCAATTTTAAGAACGCTAAGACTGTCTTGTGGTAGTCTACGGGGACAGCTCTGTTCAGCTCGTTTGAGATGTTGTTGCAGTGCTCCTTTAGTCTTGTTGAGTACTCTTGCAATTTTTACTCTATTTGGTAGTGATGCACCGTTTTCTCTCTCCGGCTGGCGCCGTTTCCCATTGTAGAAATTGTTCTCCGAACTGCGCTTCGTGAAATCTTGGTTTGGTGAGGTAGCCAATGTTCGTGTTCTTATGGGTATGCTAAACCTGTTCAGTGATCGCAATGTTTCACAACCATTGGCATTGTAGCGGTTTTGTCGTTCTACTGTAGCTGCTGGCCCTTGACAGATGTTGATGAGAAGGCACTGTAGATCTCTTGCGAGGCTTACTGCCTTTGTTGCTTGTGTGGCGTCACGTATGCTCTGATGTTTGCATCCTATTTGTCGTGGAGCCACTTGTGCTATTTGCAGTAGCAAGTCGATTAGCTCAAGGTAGGCTTGTAGCTTGAAGAACCCTTCTTCAAATTGCGAGTAGACACCGTTACAGAATGATGGTGGCAGTTTGCAGCTGTGCAGTCTTCGGACATTGTTGTTTTGTTCCTGTACTGCTCCTGCAGTTGTTGCTGATACTGTCTCTTCTGTGGGCTCTGACTGGTTCTCCCGACATGTCGTTCGTAGTTTGGCATGTGGTGGCTTTGCAGCTGTTGTGCTTAATTACTGTCCTATACTGGAACTCCCCAATGTGTAGGACTTCAGCTCCGCTCGACAAGTGCAAATTGCTTGCAGTGTTCAAGATTTCGCCCTTTTGTAGCCTCAGTATGGATTGTAGTTCAAAACCTGCGGTAGTGTACAATACATGAAACAGATCAACAAATACTTCAACATGTAATTCGACATATGTTTTTCTTCTTTCTTTCCTTCTTTCGTTCTTTCCTCTTTCTCGCTTTCTCTCTTTCTTTTTTTTCCTGAACGCTTAGAAAGGGGCTTCGAGGACTCTCCTGGCTTTTCGTTGCCCTAACCTTCTGTGGCTTCAGCAAATTTAGTCCTCTTTAAGTTGACGCTAAATCAACCGACCTTAAGCCATCCTCAACGCACCTGGATCCAGCCGAAGCCCACCCGAAACCAGGCCAACCTTAAACGCGCCCGAAATTGCAACATCCATGAAGGCAGGGCCGTGATTCTGCAGCGGGCTCGGGGGTTGCGGCGTGGGGACCAGCAGACAGCCAGCTTGAGTCCCATGTAATTTGGTTCCACCGATTGCGCGCCATCGATGTAAGACACCACAGCAAAGAAAATGAAGAAACAAAGTGATCTGGCTGAGGTCTCGTCGCATGTTTTTAAGCGGACTTTGGACACATTTGAACTCAGACTTGTTTTTGTTGATCCACGCAATGTCACCGCCTCCTGACATTGTCAAGACCTTCTTCGAGGCAGGTTCCTGGTTGCCTGGTGCATGCGTTGACCTTTTGAGGTGTCAGACGCGACTGTCAGGACGAGCAAGACGATGAATGGGATGAGGATTGTGGGAGTTGCCCAAGAAACGGATTCGAAGTGGAGGCGGGGCCCCTCCAAAGAGTTTACAGAGTTCGGTGTCCAAGCAAGGCACATGATAGAAGCACTTTATTCGTTTTGTCGAAGCATGCCAAACTCAGCATTGTTAGCATGGAAGCTATTTCGACATCGAATAGCTTTTGCGCACTCCAGAATGGACTCCCTTTGAAGAGGACAAACTCATATTGCAAGAGCCCACGGAAGCCACCAGGACGAAGCCGAGGATGAGACAGGTGAGTTTTACCAGGACGATTGGAATGAGTTTGAGGCAGGCGGTATGGCATCCTGCAAGGGATTTTTTTTTTGCCAAGTGGACACGTACCAGAGACACGTGAGATATGTTGGGAGTGGTGGCCAATTGTGCCGGACTCCAACCTTCTGAATGGATGTTTCAAGGGCCACTGCTTTGCTTGGGCGTGGAGCTCAATTTTTGCGATCCGTTGCTTCCCCAATCGAGCAGTGCCAGGGAGAGGATGACTACGAAGAAGACGAGTGGGAATCCAGCTACAGCTCTAGCGAAGGCGCCAGTTCTTGCCGTAGCCCAAGCGGATTCCAGATCATGGACTTTTGGTGCCAACAGAAGCGTGTTTGTTTGCTTACTAGGACCTGGTTGGTTGGTTGGTTGGTTGGTTGGTTGGTTGGTTGGTTGGTTGGTTGGTTGGTTGGTTGGTTGGTTGGTTGGTTGGTTGGTTGGTTGGTTGATATCATCAGCCTCGCTTGGACCTAGGGCCAGTTGAGAGTTGCTTGGGTTGACCCCTGATGTAAGCAACCAACCCCGGCCCGAGGCCCAGAGCCCATCCTGGTGGGTGGGGATGTTGCCAGCCCCAAGAAAAGCCAGCCCCAAGAAAAGCCAGCCCTAGTCAAAAACAACGCCTCCACCCGGAAGCGTCACCTCTTTCAGGCAGCTACCAAAACACAGCTTGGTTGCCCGTGAGCTTTCCTCGCCAGTTGATGACAGCCTGCGGCTGTGGCCAGATCCCTTTGACCAGGGGACGGAGGCTGGGGGTTACAGGTTTGAGCTTTGTCTGTGGCAGCATCCCACTGGCCCCAAATTTTCGTAAGGCTGCGGCCCCCTTCCTTGGTTTTAAAGGGAAGCCAAAAGGGAACCGATTCCCTTTTTCGTTGCTTGAACAGATTGGTTGCGATTCTCTTTTTGTTTGGCTCGATTGATGTCAGCACCATCATGGTTTTTCATGTCGATTGCTCTGGGGCAAGGCAGCAAAGTTTGCTGAAGGACCATTTGTGTTTGAAGAACCTGTTTTCTTCATTGCTTATGTTTTTCATTAGACGGGTGGTCTCTTTCACATTTAGCAATGCAGGGCACTTTGCCAGTCGCTCCAGCGTCTGGGCACGCCAGGCCTCAAGCGCCCCCAGGCGGGCTCAGAGGGCGGCTTGGAGTTTCGAGTTCCGCAAGCCAGGGTCTTCTGGCACCCTCCCATTTCTCGATATTCTGGGGGGAGATCAAACGTTTGTGGAATTTGCTGTACCAAGAAGCAAGAGTTCAACCGCGCGGCTGGCTTTTGCCAGTCCAACGCCCAGCGTTGCGGCAGAGCAGGCGGGAGGATCAGCAGAGAGATGCCATGGCGTTCCCTGAAAAGCAGGGGGCTTTCTTTTCTGCTTGTTATACCAAAGTGTCGAGAGTTTGAGCGGTGCCCTTTCTTTGCCTAAGCCGCGGAAGCAGGTAGTTGGCACTGTGCAGTGGGCCCGGCGCTCAGAGCATGAGGGTCAGGCTCAGATCAAACAGATAAACAGATCCTGTTGTTGTTTGTTTGTTCTGTTTCCCTCACACGCGAGTCATAGGCCGTCCAGGTTTGAAGTGGATCTTGGCTATTGGATACTTGGTCGGGGAGCTTGGCGTTTTGACCTGGTACCCTTCTTGGGCATCGCAGTCACCATGCCCTTTGAGGCTAGTTGTAGAACTAGTATGCCGGGCTCTCCACATGTGCCTGCATATGCATTTCGCTTGTTTGAACCCGAAGCTGCAAAGCATATCGTTTCCAAGTATTGGGACAAGGGCCCGGCAGCTTGCCAACAAAATTCGGATTTGTGAGTGCATGCCACTGTTTCGATGATTCCTCAATGCACATTTTTAGAGAACACAAACGCACCCCGACATTTCCGATGAATTTGCGCCCATGTCGCTCGTCTGAGTCGCGCGTGACGGAAGGCCGAGACATCGTTGTCTGTGGGCCTGAAGGCACCTGCGATCGGTCGGCAAAACAAAATCGCGGAGAGTCCCGGCTGGAGACTGCCTCGGTTTTGGGAAGAAGTTGAGCTCTCCGGCTTCCCGGTGCCATGGTGTCAGGTAGTGTGCTTCTCGCGACCTCCAGACAACCTCGAGGCTCAGCTCGACTTGACTGGCTTGACAAGCTTGCAATGTCGTTTCAGCGGACACGCGACAGTGACATTCGTTTTGGGCCGGGGCTTAGGGCTTGATCCG